AATTTAGGAAATGACTAAGTTAAGGTGGCCTGTGCTAACTTAACTTGGTTTCCTTGTGTATATTTTCATTTTGATACATGTTTTAATTATCTGATTTTTTTTTTTCCTAAGGACCATTGTCTTATTCAATGCATAGGATGGGTGGTGTTTATTGTGGAAGTATATCCTCATTTTTCAGTATATTCTCCATGCACTCCTCTTACTGCACACCACTCACACTCTGGTTTGAATATGGACTTTTAAATTTCTTTATGGTGTCTTCTGTCACGCTGTCATTGTATTATTCGTTAATGAATTCATCTACACCACCTCTTCATGTGGAGTATTATTGTCCTTATTTTACAAATGAGGAGCTGACCAGAGAATATATAAACCAAAATTACTAGAAATGTCAACTAATTTGGGGTGTTTCATTTGACATTATCAGAGTTTTTCATCACAAAATTCAAAAGTTTTATTTCAAATGTGAAATTTTTGCATGTTCAAAGCAAATCTCTCAATGAACTTAGTTGCAATTAGGAATGCTGAGCGCTTACACAAATAGGATTCCATGTGTTTAAGATAAGGGACACAAAACTACCCCCTGTGTAAAATGTGTTTCATTATTCACCTTGCATCACAAACTTCATAGTGGAGGTAGATATGGAATCCATTTTTTCGGGGCACAGTTCAGCTGCCTTCACCATGACAATATTCTTTTTATTACCCCTTAACTTCTATGAACATGCAACCAGAAGATATGTGGACATTGTGTTAGCTGTTTTTCACACAATAAGGGATATTGAGCCCAGGACTCCTGGATTCAATTATAGGTTCAGTAGTGGAATACAGACTCTTCAGTCGCTTCCCAGCTTCTCTCAGTCTTTTGTTCCTACCTATTCCTGGCCTGCTTAGCTATTCATTTCTGTTCCGGACTACTGTCTGCTGATCCCACTCCACTCCTACTTGTGTCTTTCACCCGGGTTCCTTCCCATCTACCGCCACCCACAGCTCCTGCCTTTGTTCCCTCTCTGCTCTGATCACTCCCTAAACCTGTGGTTCTCAACCAGGTGCTGCAGCATCCTGGAGTGTCTTGAGATCCTTTTAGGGGTGCCACAGGGTGCTACCTGCTGTGAAACATAGTCACAAGATTAATGCAGAGATTTCTAATAGTTTTTAAAATGTTCTGACCTACTGTGATCTTTCTTTGTTCTTTGCAACAGAATTGCTCTATTTTTCTATAGTCAAAAAACAAGTGAAAACTAAGAGCCGGCATTTCCCAAGGCGTGCTTTAAGTCGAACAAGTGGTGCCCTGAGTCTAAAAGGTTCATAACCACTGGTCTAGACACTGGGTCCTCTTTTCCATCCCTTTTCCTTTCTCTTGTCCATGTGGTTCTCTTCCCTTCTTCTTGCCCTCCCCCATTGCAGATCTTGTTCCTCTTCTTGTTCCTACTAACCCCCATCTTCTGCCTTTCTCTTTGCTTGTTCCTCTTCTACCTCCGGGCTATATACAGACATTCAAAAAGCCTAGGGCGGAATTGATCTAAGCTACGTGCTTTTCTGTATGCAATGTAGTTTAGATTAGTACAAAACAGAAGACACATTTGCCTTTGGTTGGGGGGTAAATCTTAGACTGGGTTCTGCCATTTTAAACTGGTCTGTGTGTGCCAAACTCCTATTCTGTTATTGGTGTAGACTGGTTTCCAATCACTTATACCAGTAAAAGTGTAATGTCTGTATCTGGCCCCAGCTGTTCTTTCTTTTTATTTCTCCCAACATTGAGTTCCTGACCTCCAGCTGCATCTTTCATGGATGCCAGCAGCAGGAGCATTGAGAGCACAAGACTGAGAGAGATTAGGCTTTGGGTTCCATATGCTTGGCACCAGAGCATCATTCCAGTCAAGGAGAGCAAATACGGAGAAATCCTAGTCAGCCTCTGCAGCCACCTGACCATGTGTTAACTTGAAGAGACTGCATAGATAGACTGACCATGAGGAAATCCTAAACATCTGGGATATCTTGGACACTGCTTTCCTCCCCCACCCCCCACCCCCAAAACTAGCAGCGCAGCTGCAGGCAGGGGTGGGGTGGGGTGGAGCAGAGCAGGGTGGGTGGGACGGCATGGTGCACTGGGCAGGCAGGCAGTGAGTGGTACCTGCCTGGCATGCCATTCTGCTCCACTGTGCACTGCTCTGCTTCCCTGCACCCCTTTGTTCCTGAGGTGTTCATTTTAAATCCCAACAGCCAGATGAGACCAGCTTCCAAAATCCAAGACTGTCCCAGGTAAATGAGGTCACCATATGCATAGACAAAATCCAACCATTTTGAGGCAGACAGTCCTCAGGAAATTTAGCTGCCAAAATCCACTTATGCTCAGCAGAGATTTATTAAACTGAGATCTTTCTGAGACTCAAAGTGGCCACATTTTCATGACTTTCCTCAAAAATGGCACATCCTGGGATGCCGCTGCCAGATTTCCCAAAAGCAGCGAGAAAAAGGAATCCTAGTCAGCCTCTGTAGCCACCTATGGATGAGTTTCTCAACAAAATAGTTGTAAGTTTGTTTATTTGTTTTTAACGTGGGCAGAAAAACTTATTTTTACTTACTGTGTTTGTGTATGCCAGTGGTTCTGAGTAGGGCTGTGCAAAGCTTCAGGAACCAATTCGATGTGGAGGAGATTGGGCCCAACTTGGCGGCTGAATCTCTGAATCTGAATTGAATCAGGAGACCAATTAAAAGCTCCAAATCGAATCAGAAGCCTCCAAATCAATTTGGTGCTGATTTGGAGATTCAGCCATAGACTAAACAGGCAGCAGTCCTCGAGGACGCTGGACACAGCTGCCTCCAGCTGGTAAGTCTGTTGTGGTGGGTGAAGGGGGGAGGGAAGAGGCGTGGCGGAGGGAATCAATGCCCCCACAACAAGGCAGGGATTGGGGTTGGGGCTGTTGCTGGGGCAAGTTGCCCAGCCGGGGCAGGGAGGGCATGGGACTTGGGGGGAGGGGGGGAGCTCTTGCTGTTGCACGTTGCTTGTCCAGGAGCGGCATGGGGGCGGGCGTCTGCCCCCGGATCTGTGTGGGCAGGCTGGGCTGGGCTGGGCTGGGCTGGGCTGCGCTCCAGGTGGCTAGCCCCAGTTGCCTGCTGCCGGGTGGTGCCCCATGGAGTGGGTGGAGCCAGGGCTGAGCAGAGCACAGTGGAGTAGAAGCAATGATGGGGCTGCAGCCACCCTAAAATTCCCCATAGCCCCTGCCACCAACCCCACTTCAATCTGGGTCCATGTGCCCATCCCCATGACCTGCCACTGCTCACCTAGCCGGGGCGAAGCTGTGGCTTGTCCGGGAGGTGTGGGGTGGCTGAGCAAGCGGTGGGGGGCATAGCCCCCACTCCCAGTGCCTTCCGCCACCCATCCGTAATGCAGCCCAGCCCAGCCTGCCCCACACAGATCTGGAGACCCGCTCCCGTGCCCTCCTGGACCAGTGGCGCATGGTGGTTTACAGTGGCGGGGCCACCCTCCCTGAGTCCTGCATCCAGGACTGTCCCTGGGGGGTGCAAACCACGGTGCCCACCTTGGGCTTTGTGGGGCACTGTGGACAGTCCCATACAGGCTCTGCCACAGCTGTCACATGCTGCCACGGTGGCAGAGCCGGTGGCGCTCACCAGAATCACCGAATCGAATCACTGTCCCTCCAAATCAGCTGAATCTGAATTTAATACCTGCTGCTTTGCACAGGCATAGATTTCAGCCTTTTTAGATGCCAGGCACCCCTAGGAAAATACAGTAAAAGCAAAGCTTTTTTTTTTTTTTTGAGTGTGGGAAAAATAATAGAGCAGTTCTTCTGCCCTGTTGTGGTCTTCATTAGTTATTTGCAACCAAATGTTTGTCATACTATGTATTCCTAGCTGAAATTTGTGGGTTTATTCTCTGAATCATGTTTATATCTGTAACAGCGTTAACATTGTATGGCACCTGATGGCACCCTTGAAAAGATCTCAAGACACAACCAGGGTGCTGTGAAACCATGATTGAGAATCACTGGTGTAACTGGGTGAACTGTTTATGCTGAAACTCCAGCTTGCCAAAAAAGTTAACTTGAGATGGGCACGATATGAAAAATTTCAGCTCAGACTGCTGATGGTCAGCAAAATACTCACCAACTGAAAACAGCATAATATTTTAGTGTTAGCAACCATCAATGCATGTACAAGACGTATTATTCTTGTTTAAATTGTCATGCAAATATTCCTTGCCTTTTAATTTCTCTTGCTTAAATTTTATCTGCTTCAATTTCACAATCAGATTTAAAGACTTTTATGTGGAAGGGTGATGAGAGAGGCTGATATGGTACAGAGTGAAAGAATAGAAAAGCAAGTTCCTTATGTTCTTCCTTCTAGGCAAGCATATTTTGAGACCAGAATGGACAGCATAATTGACTCCTGCCAGAGGCCGTGGTAATTTATATCTTTACCCTTGGCTTGACTTTTAGCCTGCTTCTGTCCTTCTTTCTCCTGGCCATCTCCTTGGCAGCCTTCTTCAATGCTCCCCCAACCCTTTCTCTCTCTCTTGCTCCCTCTCTGTCGTTTAGTCACAAGAAGTTGAAAACATTTTTTAAAGCAAATGGAACTTACCCATCTGCCACTGTGCACTCCTTTAATCCAGTTTTAAGTCTTACTTTATCAATTAATTCTAGCTTCTTCTTTTTTTTTGAATGCCTATTTTCTTATAGGATAAAGCTCCAACTGCATATTTAAATTGTGATAAATGTGGCAATTCTATGTGATATATGCAAATTTAATAATCTAAAAACTTGATTATAGATGTTAGAGGACAATTTAGCTGGGTTTCAGATGGCCAAAAGATAAATTCAGGGATTTCAATTACTTTTTAATAAAGGGGAAAGAAATTAAAAGCTGAAAAAATATTTTAGCAAAGGAGTTCAGAAATGAACAGTCTAAGCTATTACTCTTTATAGAACCTACTGTTTAATACAGCTTCTTTTGTTTTTTCTTTTTCCTTTTTAACCTAGTTCAGAATTGCTTATCAAAGACAGGAGCAAAATTACAACTTCCTAGGAGCTGCCTGACCCTGGATCTCCTTCTACTCTTAATCACAGCTGTTCAATCTCTTCTGCTTGAGGGGAGAAAATAGAAAAAAGGTCAAAAGATTTCTAGAGCCATTTCCATATGTTATTTTGACATGTGCAGACTTAAACAAAGAGATGTTTTATTATTGCTGGGCTGGACTCTAGAACCCTGTAATGGGTGTCTCTCTCTCCCTATACCACACACGGGTAGATTTAGGTACCTCCAGAATAGGATCCACAATGGCTAACACAAACTTGACTCACCGAGTGCTAGCCAATAAGGAAATGCTGAGGAAATCCCACCCCTATCCAGACTTTCCAAAGTCGGCCCACTGCAGGTAGAAGCATTGTGTATCTACTGTAGTATGGTTTCTAGGCAAATGGTTGTTGTTGCAATTATACTGAAGACTACTGCAGGCCATCTATGTTGTAACTGAAAAGTTGGGTTTTTTTCTTCCATAAATTAGTGCAGCATTCATTGCCCCAAGACATCAATAAGTCAAAAAGGATTGTTAAAGGGATAGCTGTGCATGCAAAGACAGGTATTCCAGTATCATACTCTAAGATGTAAATTGATTGCAAAGACTAGGAAGGACTGCATACCAGGCCTGCACATAGCATGGGGCTTTTGTTAGGTTCCCTTCCTGCTTCCTGCTGTTGGAGATGGGAGATCAAAATTGGCTTGTGCCGAACAAGTGCTTCCCCCAAACTTCTGATTCATAACTGGCAAATGATCCAATCCTGCATTTTACTTCTCACCATTAAATAAAGCAAAGAAAAAAAACTTTAAAATAAAATAATGCCCATGCTTGTAGCTTTTGCTCTGCATTTAGAAAGGCAAGTTTATGTGGAGCTGCAGTGCTAAAATTGTTCCATAACTGCTTCCGACTGCCGAGGTGCTGAAGCATAATGTAAGATGTTTTGACAAGGCAGAACAGATCACCAAACTGACTCTTTCATTGTGTTGGCTGATTTTAAATGAGATTCTGAGGCCTCCTTCCTACAAAGCACTGTCCATGATCCGGTCCTTGCATTTACTTGGAATCCCCATTACAGTCAAACAAGTTTGTTATAGTCATAAGAGTTGGGTATATCCTTTATACACAAGTGAACATACTGCCACAATTGGGGCCAAGTCAGCTAGGCTGCTTGTGGGGTATATTTTTTTTTTTGTCCACTGCTTTCTCTTGAACTTGAAGAATTCCTTGCCTCCCCCACTCAATATATGAGACAGGGAGGTTAATGGAACATTTACCTCAAGTGATTAATGACTGAGAGCCAGGAATTAGGAATCCCTTAATTCTAAGCCTAGCTGAGCCACCACTTTATTATACAGCTTTGTAAATTTCCTAACCCTTCCCATGTTGCATTCTATCCTTCTGTAAAATGGGTATAATCAAATAATACTTTCCCTGTTATAACTCTTGGGTATCACAACAGTGTTATGGCATTATTTAATTCCTTAATAGAGATGGACCCCTCTGAGAAGGGAGGGTAGCTACTTCTTTAAATCCAACCCTAAAGGGACACACATTCCTGAGTTTTCCTCCAGTGACCAAGCCTAGCAAGGAAGCTGCTATCACATCGCATAGCCAGAGGATTTTCTAACATCCTGAACAGATGATACATTTACAGCAGTGCGGTCAGCCTATGCACTGGTGTAAATAAAGGAGCAGACATAAACCCTTACAGTGATGTAACTTCAATGAATCTAGTGTAGAATTGCCCTTAAAAGGACCTAGGGTAAAACTACACTGATGACAGTTAAACTGCTATAGATGGCAACTAGGTTAACCTGAGGCAGCCATTAACCCAAGGCTACCACATTGTGACAGTGACTATGTAAGGCTTTGTGTGCAACTAATTTGGAATAGCTGCTCATCTGTCTGCTGCCTTGTGTGGTATATCTTATATGAAGTCTTTAATGAAGAGCCGTTCCAGCTTGTCTTTCAAACTTTCAGTCTGTATCTCAAATTAGATTTTGGTGGTTTCATAAAGAGAGGGTAGCCTGCTTGTAACTAAAGATCTCTCTTGCATAGCAAGCAATCTGTTAAACATAATTGTAACAGCATGGGGGGGGGCAGTCTCTTTGTTGTCTGCAAATTAAAATGGGGCTTTTGGATAGATGTATGTTTGTTTATTTATAGTCTTTCCAACTAAAATGTATCAAAGTCCTAATAAGCAGTTGTTAAGGAATGGCCACAATAGTCTGAATTGTGTTTAAAAATCTACAAAAATATGACTTTCGAGACCTTGATTGCGTGGTCAGCAGTCAAAAATATCAATGCTTCATTGCTTCTGTTCCTGTTACAGGTACATGTGACAGCGTTGCAGCTATGAGTGGAATTTTAAAGAGGAAGTTTGAAGAAGTTGATGGCTCCTCACCCTGCTCCTCTGTGCGGGAATCAGATGATGAAGTTTCTAGCAGTGAAAGTGCTGACAGCAGTGATAGTGTCAATCCATCTACTTCTAATCATTTTACCCGTAAGTCCAAAGTCATGTGTAGAGCTCTATTGTCCTCTACAAATTGATAGTATTGTCTAGCATAATGGTTATAATAATACACAGCTCTTATACAGCAGTTTTTAACAGTAGGTCTGGGGATAGACATTACACATAAACCAGTTTAAGTGATCAGAAAATGGTTTTAACCTGTAACAGAATACAAGTTCAGTACACATAAACCAGTTTCCCCACAACCCCACCTCGCAGGGCGGGCCACTAGCCTTGGCCCATCCTGTCTGCTGCAGCTGGGCAGGGCCAGCTCTGATACCCAGGCTGTCACAGAGCTGAGGCAGTGAAGCCTCTGTTCTGCAGCCCCGGTCCAGCCTGTGGCAGTCAGCCCAGCAGGGTGGTGGTGGGGAGGAGACAGGGGAACAAAACTCCCCTCCTCAATCCTGGCCCCAATCCCTGGTGTGAAGGGGCTCCTCCCCTGGCCCACATGAGTCACCAACACGCAGATGGGAGGCAAGGGGATCAGTCCCTCCAGCCAGGGGCTGGCCCAGATCCCTGTGCCTCAGTGGGAATTTCCCAGCCCTGGGCAGGGTTCCCTGAGCCCTGTCACTGGTATAGAGGGAGACTTGCCCCTTCCCACCTCTCAGCATGGTGCAGCACCAGCTTAGCTCTGCCCTCACAGGTGCTATGGGGGGAATCATTCCCTCCAGCCCAAGGCCAAGCTGGCACTTGACTGTGACAAGAGATGAGAGGGGGGAATTCCCTCTGTGCACTGGTGGCAGCACTCAAGGAACCTTGCCCAGGGTGCAGGAACCCCTGTTGAGGTGTGGGGATGCAGG